CCCCCAGTGCCCATCCTGTCCTTCCCAGACCCTCAGCGCTCCGGGTACCCCCAGTGCCCATCCTGTCCTTCCCAGACCCTCAGCGCTCCGGGTACTCCCAGTGCCCATCCTGTCCTTCCCAGACCCTCAGCGCTCCGGGTACCTCCAGTGCCCATCCTGTCCTTCCCAGACCCTCAGCGCTCCGGGTACTCCCAGTGCCCATCCTGTCCTTCCCAGACCCTCAGCGCTCCGGGTACCCCCAGTGCCCATCCTGTCCTTCCCAGACCCTCAGCGCCGGTGAAGGAAAGACCCCACAAACCCCATAACCAGCGCCGGCCGTTTTACCCACAAATCAATCCTACCCCTTCGGGCAAACAACCACGCAGCTCCAGCTGAGCACGCGCAAAAAAAGCTGCGTGATTCCTCCCCCCGGGGAGAGGAAAAAGTCATCAAGAAACAGGACTTTTGTTAGGGCAATTTCACTTTATTTTTTTTATTTTTATTTTTTCCATACAGCAAGGTCAACTATAGCAGTAATAATAAAATAAGCATAAAAACAAATTGCAGCCCAGGACAGAGTACATAATTCGGAGCAACTACAAGCAAAAAGTAAGTCTGTGATTACATAATAGTAAAACCAAGCACATCTGTCCTTTCAGCAGATGAAAGTTGCAGGGTTGCAAATAAGTGCAACGTCATTAATTACTCAGTGAGCACTGGAGAGACCAGAGGAGGCAATGGCCTGATCACTTCTCCTTCCCAGCTTTGGCAAAGACAATGACAAGGTTCCTTGAACTCTCTCCATTCAAAGGGTAAAATTTCCCAGGGTTTGGTTTGTTGTTTGGTTGGTTTTTTTTTTCACCTGCTAAAAGAACAGGAACCACTACAGCAATAAAAAATAATCACATAACAACTACAGCTACAGTGTGCTGTTTGGTTTGCCTGCTCATGATTTAACTCTTTTGTGAAAGTATTTCTTTTGAAGAATCTTTTTTTTTCTTTTTTTTTTTTTGTTGTGAACAATAAACCACTGAAATCCTCAGAGACTGGTTTGAATAGCATATATCTTTAATATATCTTTTTGATACTTTAAACATGCAGTAGTTTTTGAATAATGTACGGAATATTTGATCCATGATTTCACCTTGACGGTCTGAAGTACCTGCTTTTTTTTTTTTTTCCTCCTTTTTTTTTCTTTTTTTTTTTTTCTTTTTCTTTTTTTTCCTTTTCTTAATGATTTTCAGGCAGATTTGAACCAGTGGAGCTTTTGTCAGTCATGAGATCTTGGAAGGATGGCATATCTTTCCAGCTGAAAAAATCCTGGCAAACTACAAGCTGTCCACAAAAAGCAAAGCAACTTTTTTGAAGGGGTATGGAGTGCTAACTCTGTGCCACTTTTGCAAGCAATTTTGTTCAGCCTGTCATTTTTATTAGCCTTAACAAAACTCCTTGTAATTATAGACATTTTTATTCAAAATAAGATCTTACTATTATACAGGTTTCTCTCTTTTTTGACTATATACAGAAGTGCAAAAAGTCAACCTTCTCTCTATACGTTCCCACATGCTAAACTGCAGCATAATCAACCCTCAAGAGTTTGCACACACACACTATAATTCTTGTTACGTAAACTTTGAGTATTTGGATTATCAACAGAAAGTCCCTTGATCTATTGATTATGCAGCTTATTTATAACAAGGCCTGATATTCAGGGATTTCAAAAAATATTTAAACAATATTTTAACATTTGAAATGGATACAGTAGAAAATAAATTTTATTCTAATATCTAGGAACTAGATTTTCTCATAAGAACTAATTACAAACAAAATAAATCATCAAAATATTACTCAATTGTCTGCCAGGATTGTTGCGATAGCAACAACTTAACTTCTTACTTAGCAATGATTATATAATTATAAGATATCCATATAAAAGATCTTTGTTCTTTTAATGAAAACTAGACAAGAACTAACAATGACTGACATTCTTACATTGTAATATTAAATCAGTAAAATAGAAATCATTTAGTTAACAGTAATACGAATACTCATATGACACTACATGTAAATTCAAAACTGAGTATGTTATGAAGAAAACTACTTTTTTTTGTATTTTGAAAAAGTCATCAGTAAACTCTAATAAAACAGAATTCTATAAACTGAAATGGTATTCAACTGGTAATAGAAAATGAAAACAATCTAATAAATGTAAGAAATAAAAACTACAATTTTAACAAGAAAAAATAAGTAATATTCTAGAATGTTAAGTAGCTACAATAACATGTGAAGTCACCTATACTTTCTTAACACGATTGAAATTACATTGGTATGGGTTTTAACCCGTAATGTAATAATCTAAGGCTTTAATAGATGTACAGTACAATCAGTAAAATCAACACATCATTCTTAGACTATAAAGCATCTCTCTCAAGCATAAAAACTCGCAGTAAACTCGGAAGTACGGCGAGTTCTACAACCGAACCCGCGCCTCTCCCACCCCGCTACGCCACCAGTGACCTGGCCCCCACTTCAGCACTTTGCTGAACAGAGCAAAAATATCCTTTACTAGCTGCAACATCCAATCCACAAAAAGGAATTCCTTTGGATGAATCCGTTCTTAAAACTTGAATGCACATCTATTTTTTTTTGTTTGTTTTTATTTTGTAAAGGCTTTCTAAGGCTATAAGCAGTTATCTGAACAACAACAACAAAAAAATCACATATAAAACTCACCCAAGTATTTAACCCACCCAATTTCTACACTAATTAACATCTCCATTTTTCATATTTTGGTTTGTCATGCATCTGATGTCAGTGCTTCTTTCGTCTTTGTTTAGAGTCACTGTGAAAAGCGTGACTGTAATGAAGTAAAAGTGAAACCCATCTCTGCAAAACATTTATAGTCCTTTCGACTTTCGACAGAGGCTATAAATAGAAGCAAAAGAAGTTCCTCAAACATTTGTCACTGTGTCTCAGAAATGGCTTTTCCCTTTCATATATCATGTTATACAATAAAATATGCATAAATATGACACTACGATGCCTTAAAATAGTTTATATATATGTCCAGTATGGGTTAATTGTACGGCTAGAGTATCTTTCCTGTGCTGCCTACTGTTACTGTAAGGAGTCGTTGGCCATTTCTGAGACAGCTTTGGCTTGAAAAAGAATGGTGCCCTTTGACTGGTTAGTACTGGTTAGCACTGGTTAGTACTAATAAAATCAGTGAAAACATGGTTCTGAAAATAACACTGCAGAAATAATACTCTAATTGGATGTACAGTCTATGGCACTTCATGAGAATCCTTAACAACATGGTACTTAAAGCCACTGATGTGCTTTAAAATATACACAGTTGTGGTTTTGCTTGGCACATTCATCTCTGTCAGATACCTCTCTTACCACTTCTTACAATCTATTACATTAAAAATATTACTCTTAAACAAAAATTACTGTGCATGCACGCTCCCATCTATAATGGCAATTTTAAATACAAGGTGCACCTTTGTTATTTGTAAACCTTGAAAGAAATAAACTTACTTTAAAAAATTATATCTTGGTCTACAGACGTACCAATACATAATAGATTTATGGTTACATCATCCTCTGTCTTTTCAAGGTGACATCCATGATTATGTAGGAAATAGGCCTCGTATGCATACCCAAATTCATATGCATACTTCTGTGCTAGAAAAGACAGACAATGCTGTAGTTTTTAGACAATAAGATCACCTCAGCACAAATATCAATTAAATGTACAAAGTATATAGGCAACAGTGTGCAGTGGATTTCCAAGGTCTCGTTTCATCTCGTTAACATGCAATGTGTGGATGTCGAACTGCTGAGGGAGTTTCCGAGTGTCGCCTGACAGTATTTACATTATGGCTAATGAGCTTGTCCTCTTCTCGACCCAAACACACTGTCCTTTTCTCCTTAGTTATCATCTGGAAAGGGAACAAGAGGAAGTGTTGTCAGCACAGTCAGCTCTGTTTGTTATCCCCCCATCAGCCCATGCTTTGCATTTGCAGACCCTGGGGACTGCCCAGCCCAGCGCAGGGCAGCCTGCAGGCAAGAGCTGTCCACCCCAAGAGTCACTTCATCACTGCAAGACCATTATCCTCAGTGGAAAGGAGTAACTTATTATTATAAACCCACTGTGGCAAATCAGCTAATCCTCACCCTAGGCAGTAATCCCATGCTGGCCCAGCCGTTCAATAAAGAGCCCAGCAGAGACTGCACACAAGGGAGAGGGAGGTCACACAAGGCACAAGCCATCCCGGGGGAGGTGCTGAGCTGCAGGTGGTCTTAACAACACCAATGTAGTGGCAGGCTGGAAACTACCATTCACTCATCAAGAGATACAATGGGAAAAGAACCTCTCAGGCTTAGGCCCACAAGCCCCACTGTCATGGCCAGTCACACTGACACCCCGTGGAGAGGAACCACAGGACCCCTCCCCACCAGATGGCCCTGCCAGGACACCCTGCCCACCAGGCACCAGGGCTGACAGCCTGGGTGCCAGGGCACCTGGGCTTGGTGAGGCTGGTGGCTAAACCTGGGCCCAGGAAATGCTGGCTTTTCAAACCTGGAGATCCAAACTCAGCTTTTCTAAAGGCAGCCTAACGTAGCCACCCCTGCCCTGGCTCACACCAGCACCACAGCCACCACCCTGTAACAACAAAACGTTCAACTCTGATTTTCCTCTTCAGAAGTTTATCCATCCACATAGTATATTCCTTCTACATCTGACACCAACACCAGCTGAGGTGGTCACTAGCTGTGGGATCTGTGCTCAGAGCAGAGCAGCACGGCTGGGAGGCTTGCAGCCTGGCCCCCCACATCTCACTGGCCTTCTCAGGGAGAAAATATAAACAATCTGTCCCTGAAAAGGACAAATTATGCACACACAAAGATAAGAAAACTGCAAGACACAACACATTGGGAACTTACTGTTTGATGACAAACTGTCTACATCTGTGTAACATACTTGTGGCTAGTCAGATGTTCGGCAGATATTATGGGTATCTACAGGTAAAAACAATGTAAAGAATGAGTAACACGTGCCATGAGCCAACCCAGAGACAGCATTTTGCTACAGAACATCAGTTTGGAAAAGTGAGGATCAGCTGTGAATTGGTGGATTTTATATTGTAACTATAAGTTAAAGGCAACTGACGTGCTACAACAGCAACTTAAAACTGGAAAACATTGCATTAACTACTACTTGACAAATATAAATAAGTATTATTGGTTGTTTAGGAAATAAGAGAAGTTAAAATCTACAAAAGTCATGCAGTGCAGTAATTGAAAATAGCCCTTTTTGTTGGCCGACACAAAATCCTGTGCTTTCAGTATATCATTTAAAATGACAAACCCTAGAGTGGCCTTGTTTCAGCCTGATTTTGTGAAGTGTTCACTGCTTCTGCTGCCTTGTTTTTTCAATGCCAAATCTAAGAAGCCCCGGGCTGGATTTTCATGGCTGGTGAAAATCCACAGCTGAGAAGAGCTGTGGGCTCTTCCCAGGGCCTCTGTGGGCATCTTGGTACACCAGCTGAGAAGCAAAGACTGCCCAAAGCAGTGCAACAATTCTCAAAATGTTCGTCTGTGTGAACAGAATTCACTCCGGGGCTCTCCTGAAGTGCCTCGTCAACTCAGCTTCCCATAAAAAATAAATAAATTAATTAAAACGAGAGCAGATGAGCAGCAGCACATGTAGCCAAGCCCTGTTCTCCTCAGTGCAGACCCCCTGTGTGCACAGGCCCTGTGGGGTGGGAGCAGCCCCAGCCTGCAGCAGGACCAGGCAGCAAACAGCCCTGCCACCTGCAGGGAGAGATGCTGGGGCATGGGGCACAGAAGGCATTTGTAGCAATGCAAACTGCTGCTGCACTTGGAAAGAAGGGCTCCTTTTCCCACGGGATGCTGGGGCTGACCTGCTAATCTGCACAAGAAAAGGAACAGAGAGGTTTCCTCTGCACTAAATCTTCAGTGTCTCAGTGTCAGTTTTTCCACCCCTTGTGCCCTTTCCTCCCCTGGCAACTCCACACAACTCCACAGCATTGCCAACTTGTACAGAAACGTGCTTCAAGCATAAGGAAGCTTGTCATACCATTTTTTCCTACTGCTGCAGGACAGGCTGTTGCACCCAACTGTGTAGAAGCATCAGGGGAAGTGCTGTCGGAACGTACCAAGGACCTTCAACACCAGTCCGTGAAGATGATGGGCCAGATCTTAAGCCTTTTGGCATGCAGGCACATTGCACCCTGTGGCATTCAGTAACTCCAGCACTGCTCACATAGTATATACATATATACTCACTATATATGTATATCTGGAGGTTTGGCTGTGGAACTTCACTAAGGTGTTATGAGGCTCCAGGGAGGATATGCATGAAATGATCAGAGTCTACCACAGAAAGCTGCCCTGTTATCTACTTGGGAAAGTGCTTGGCTATTTAGAAAAATAAGATTTTACAAGGAATGATGTTTTTCCATGGCTTGGCTTGTTCTCACAGCTCTCTGGACTTAGGGAGGATTTAGAGACACTTAAATTACTTCTATGGTGCCATATATCTCAATATTAAGAAACTCCGGGCGTACAGGTGGTTGCTTACTTAGCTGACATGTATGCAGAGGCAGTCATACCTATGAACTAGCTTTTCAAAACACAAAGTCGTTCTTCTGCTGGTTTAACTCCGTGACTGACACGGTCACTCAGCAAACATTCCCAAGAGGAGCAAGTGCTCCTTGCTCAGCAGACTGAGTATTTTTTGGAATTGCAGAATACCCGGGTCCCTCTCGAGATGCGGGATGTACACACCTCTGTATCTCTGCAACAGGGTAATTTCTGGAGTAATGTTTTTGAGAGATGAGTAAGGTGACAGGTGCAGAGAGAACGCTGAGCTGGGCTAGAACAAAATGGCAGCGCTCGTCAGGCGAAGGGAGAAGGCTGGAAGCCAAAGGCTCTGGGCTGGATCCAGCGAGCACTCACAGCAGCAGTGCCAGGCCAGGCTGGGGGCTCTGGGCACAGCCCCTTGCTGGGGGATGCACCCAACCTGCACCAAGAGCTGCAGGTGCCACAGGGCACGGGCACTGCTGCCCAGTGTCCCACCACAGCTGCTCACCTGGCAGCTTGGGTGGGAGTTTGAAATTGCTGAAGAAGTTAGTTAGCCCTACTGGCTCAGGGAGCTGAGTGTGCCACGTTAGCCTGCCTTAAAAACTGAACCTGCTCTCAGGACTGACTTCACACACGGAACCACTCCCACAAAATGCTGAAGAAAATGTTTAGTTCCCTCTTCTAAAAGGCACGTGTGTGATTCCCACTGAGCTGAGAGCATTACCTGTACACTAGACCGGCACTGACGGCTTCATGACATACATCCTAGTAAATCTCAAAAAAATCAGTTGCTTTTAATAAGAGAAAGTAGAGAGTCTTTTGAAAGTTTTTACTGTTGTATCATCAGCCAGGTGTACTACAGAAATCTGCATGTTTGACAACCCAGCCAGAGAAAAACAACAGGCCACATTCTGTTCTCAGGTGCAGCTCCTCTGGCGCCTGGTGCGCATTGTCAGAGCACCGTGTCTGGCTTTTTAAGGAGGACTTTTAATCACTTCTTTAGACAGCATTATTCTTCTAATCCTGAAATGCATTCCAACATGGCAACAGTCAAGGTAGCTATTTAGAAATTAAACTGACTCTAATGGACATTTTCTTAACTGATGCCTGCCTGCTGCAACCAGTAACCAGCCCTTTCCTAGCAGAATCGTAAGCTGAAAAAAAGGTTTGAAAGAAGTTTCTGTGTGGTTCAAACATTTTTGTTTTGCTTTTGGAAGAAGAGAGTCAGAACATGTTCAGACTGTTAAAATTCTCATCCTGCAACCCCTCTACACAAAGGTTGTACTGGCTTTCACTGGAGTTCTGCACTAAAAGGGACTGTCAGCTTCCCAGAAATAGAAATAAATAATGGGATCTGTGTATTATCCCTTTCTCTTTACATCTCTGTGAGCAGAAATAAGCAGCACAGCCCATAAATGTTAAGACTGAGTCAGAAACTCTATTATCAATTATTTTTAGCATCAGAAATGGAACTGCAGCACCTTTTGAGCATGGATAAAGGCATATTAAGCTGTGCTGCAGGTTTTAGAGAGAATGTGTAGGCCAACAAGAGGTAAAATCAAAACCCCCATGCTCATTAAAAGCACCAATTTCAAGTTGTCTGTAAGGAACAAAGCTGTAAATTAGCAAACCTGGTTGGCTGTGGCTGTTGCAGCGAAGGGAACACTTGTGGCAGATGTTGTTGCTGCAGACACAGTGGCTGGCGTAGCACCGTGCACCATGGGAACTTTCGGAAGGAAAATCATATAAGCAAACACAGAGAAGAGTGTAGCAGTATGGGAACCAGAGCGACACGTGGGAGGGGGTTGAGCATGGGATTTGTCACAGCAAGAAGCCCGAGACATTGTTGGCAGCGCGTGACATGCAACCACAGTGCAAAGCAGGACGACATTCCGGGGAGAGACAGGACGGGAGTGAAAGAGAAAAAAAGGGGAAAATGCTTGTTACCATCAAATCGAGAAAAATCGACACAAACAAGCTTAACCATTTCAATACAAAAAATCAACAGAAGAGTTTTTTAAATGCCCTTATATTTACATTTTTTTTGTCTTTTAAGAACTCAACCCAAACAGTTACTGCAAACAAAACTTAAATCTTGTTGAAGGACAGTATATGTTGTCTATGTGGCTATAGCAAGATACAGTCTTTATTTAATACAAGATAGTTTCTAAACACTGGAACTCATAGTCCAATCAAAATCCACCAAGGAAGAATGTGCAATTCAAACAACTGCTACACAAAATTAACAACATCTGTGTGCCCATGTCAATTAAATAAGACAATCGCATTTAATTGACAGGTGTTAGTGCAGGAGGCTAAGGGAGATGGATTGGCACGAGAGCTGGAAGTTAAAATCTAGCAGTGGATTTTGAGGGTCCGTGAGCTGCACCACAGGTTTAAGATAATCAAGAAACAAAGCTGGCACCTACCAACACTTGTAGCGGGTGTCATGCACAATATTGAGCCTGCCCATCATGCATTGCAACAGGAAGGTGGATTTGGAAAGGGAAAAGAATTAAAACAACCCATCACACGTGTAATTAGGAAATTTCATTTGAACAAAGAAGAAAAACTGTTATTATGGGAACAGTGGCATGTAACTGTCAGCACAATCAAACCATACAATAGCACAGTGATCACAGGAACCAGTCTCCAGTGAAGGGGAAGGAGCAGTGGAGCTGTGTGCTGGTTCAGTGTTTGCCTGGGTAGCACCATGGAACGTGAGCAGGGACAGGAAAAGCTTCTCCAGCTTTATTTTAAAACTCTCCTAGTCTTGAATCTTTCTGCCTTCTGCCGTAAGGTTTGCATGGCCTTTACCCTGGTTTCCTCAGATGAAAACCCTTCCCTGTCACACCTGCCTACAGGCCCCCAGGCCCAGCCCTGGCAATGGGACATTCCCTGCGGCTGCCGGGAATGCCGGGAGGGGCCGAGGGGCTGCCCCTCTGGCCAGGGCAGCCTCTGCACCAGGGCCCTTCTTTGGGCTGGAGTGGCAGGGGGCCCCGCACCCCCCCCCACG